TATCTTCCATATTATTTGTTGATCGTCATTATTATCATTTTTTTTAATTCTATTATTATTATCATAATTATTATTATTATTATGATTATTATATTGATTGTTATTATTATTATTATTTATATTATTGTCATAGTGGTTATTATTATTATTACCAGTAATGTTATTATTGTTATTGTTATCTATAGATAATATTGAGTTATTATTGGATGATAGTTGTTCGTATTCCATCATCATTATTAAATATAGAATATAATTATTATTGGGAAGAGGAAGTGCTTCCCATTTTCCTATCTATATTATTTTGCTTTTCGGACATCATTTGCATTTGTTTTGTCATTGTTGTTAGTTGTGAGGACATTGTTTGCATCCAGTTTCCTGATTGCTCTAAGGTCGCAGTGTTTATGTCTCTATTATTGGTGTTGTTATTATCATTATTGTTATTAATGTTATTATTTGTATTATTATTATTATTATTTTTTTTAAAGGTGAAAGTATTTTCTGAAGAGTTATTATTCCAACTATTATTATTGTAGTTATTTGTATTATGACTTTCTGCGTTGGGATTTTCATCAACAATTTCATCCATTGTTTCGTCATTATTGTCAATGTTTAGGTGTTGTTCAGCTCGTTCCATTCTTCTTGTTAAGTTATTTAATAATTTTATAACCTCTTCCATTGTTTGTTGTAATGTATTCAATTGGTTCGTAAATGTATCGGGTTGTTGTGTATTTGTTTCTGCGTTATAGTGTTGGGTCTGTCTATTTGTATTGGTATTATTAGATTTAAGTACCCCAGCGTATGATGGGTCAAGTCTTTTTTGGATTCTATTATATGCAGATGGATTATGTCTTTTCCATACTTTTCCGAATTTATCCATTCGTTGTTGTAAAGCGATAGTTCTTTCAGTAGCTTTTTGATTTATTGGACAGTCTTTTGCTAGATGTGTAATATCATAACATCTATGACAGGCTTTTGTTGTTATATCCATTAATTCAATTGTAAAATCTTCTGTGAGCCATTTATGACCAATTGCGTTGTTTCTAATTTCAGCTGACTCGAAGGATAAAATAGCCATTCTTTTCCTTGCATAGAATGCGTTTCTAGGGACATAGCAAGTCATTGCACCTATTTTTTTAAATTCATTGTATATTTCTGATGGGGTCATTCCAGGAGGGATACCCAAAGCTCTAACAGCGTATTCACCTCTTTCTTTCAGTTGAGATACTGTTACACCAGGTGGTGTTACTCTAACAATATCTTCTCCAATTGTTTGTGACCAAGATTTGGTAAAGTTTCTAGTATCTTCTGGATCTGCAAATGTAACATATGCTTTTTGCCACATTTCACCAAGTACAGTGCTGATCGATTCCACTTTTCCATATCTGTGTTCTAATTCTGTTTTAAGTTCATTCTTTTTCATACTAACAGGTAAATCCCAGATTACAGCGCGTGTTTGTTTATTGTTTGCATCTGTTGTACGCGTATTGAGTGACTTTTCTTCCAATTTGAATTTTTCTTTGTTCTCATTGACAAATTCGAGGTCTAGGGCTTTTTTTAGTTCTTCCTTTTTGTTAAAATAAATTGCGATGTAACTACCTTTGGTTTTCTTTCTATATTCTACTTTAATAAAGGTGTATTCGATTTTATCTTTTAATTCTTGAGTAATCCAATCCAATTTTTTCCCAATACTTTTCCCCAAGAAGTTTTGAACTAAGGCTCTTGCTTTGTATCTTTTAAGTCCAAGATTCCTTCTCCATTCTGGATGGTTTGACATGTTGCTATTATCTGAATAAATAGATTGAATATCGTCTTCATCATATTTATCTTCAGTATTTTCTTCATTCTCATTATTATAAACTCCGTCATTACTTTCATTCTCCACTTGACTCAATTTTCTTTTTCCTTTATCATATTTTACTTGCAAAAATTGTTGTTGTTCTTCAAACATGTTGTTGTCTTCGGATTCTATTAAAACTGTTTCAACTTCCATTTCACGAGTTTGGTCTTTTTGTTGTTGTTTATCTGTATTTACTTTTGCTTTGATGTTTTCTAAGGTCGAGCCAGACTTTAAAGGCCTGTCTTTTTTGAGTGGGTCATGTCTAGTCCCTTTGTTAAAAGATGCTTGCTGTTTGCCCGTACCAGTCTTACTACGGGTGACTCTATTGACACTAGAGGAAGGGTTTCCTTCCATATTTTCGCACTAGTTTTTCTTTAGTTTTTGGATTTTTGTAAATTCTTACTGCGGAATTTAATTTTTCTGACGGAATGCAGAAAGAGTTTTTTTTTTTAATCCCCAACGAATATTTTGTAAACAAATATTTATTTTAAATATACTAATAATAAAAATAATAATAATAAAAATAATAATAATAAAAATAATAATAATAAAAATAATAATAAAAATAATATTTTTGTTTTAAATAATAAATAATTATCAAATAACAGAACCTTCCGTTGTTACAGAATGAAAATATAATGATAAAATAATATTAAGGATACCTGCAATAATAATAACCCTCAAGATAATATTTAGAATTTAATATTAGTTCATGTTGTTAACCTTGGTTTACCTTCTAAAGAAACCAAAGAAAACTAAGTGACTAATAGTGGAAATTGTATTTATAGACTTTAAACACTATAACAATTAACTATAGTCGGACGGGTATTACTACTGATAAAGTAATGATAAGAAGGATTTTGGGTAAGGCGGATTTGGTCGAAAGAGGCTAAGGTGTGAGGTTTTATAAAAGATTTACTAGCTAAGTCACAAAGACAACAAAGTTTCACCAAGAAACTAAACAAATTCACGAAAAACTTAATAACTTAACCTAGATCACAAAGCAGGGTTAATTATTAAGTAACTATAATACCGAGATCACGAAGCAGGGTATTATAAACAATAATTACTCTTATCACCAAGAAGAGAGTAATAATAACAGAATTGCCAAGATCACAAAGCAAGGCAAATATCAAGAGGGTTTTCACTAGGAAAGTTACAATATAAACTATATAATTCACCAAGAAAGATATCAGTTTATAAACAATGTTTTATTTTGAATTATTAGAATATTCAATTCTATGTCAACTGTTCCTTCAAGAGGAGCAGAAACAGCTTCTATTTATATGAAATTTGGACCGTA